TTTTTTTTTTTAAAGTTAAAATTAATTTTAATTATTTTTCATTCTGTCCTAGTTTATTCATGTATTAAGATTCACACCAATATATGAATATATTTTCTCTGATTTTGTACTCTGACTAACACTTTAGGATTGGTTAACCCTATCTGTTTCCCAAAACATAAATGGATTTTCATGTAAATTTAATTTCATTTGTTTTTCAACTAGGAGACTTAATTCGTTAATTTAATAATAATGTTTAGGTTTTCTCATTTTATGTGCATTTCACATGTATTCTGTCAGTGTCTAGGGTTTTCATTATATGTGCATTTCATATGTATTATGTTAATTAATCCGTATTAAGAGTTCAAATGATTTTGAATGATAATTTGGCAATTTCGAATGCAAAAGAAAAAAAAGAGAGGTTATGATGGATTTTTCATGTCAATTTAAATTCTTTTTTTTTTTCAATTGGAAACTTAATTCATTATTTTAATATTGTCTAGGTTTTTCATGATATATGCATTAATTTCACTTAATTTCATATGTATTTTGGTAATTAATCCATATTAAGAGTTTATATGAATTTGAATGATAATTATATGTATCAAATACCAAAAAAAAAAAAAAAAACTTACAAGAATTTCAGAGATGACACGAGGTTGGCGAAGAGGTTTCAAGATGAAAACAAGAATACGAGTGGTAACAACAACCAACGTCAATTGCAAGATGAAGAGTGGAAGTGAATAATTTAAAGGATTGTCGCCTTGCCATATCCCATTTGTTGTGATCATCGTCGGTGCATAACATACTATTGTTGCGTCTGTTTTGTTACCTACCGTTGCCCTGTGTGCCATTTTTCTAGCCTATGTTTTACTCTGCCAATTCTTCTTATTATGACACCCTAGACCTTCTTTGCCGCCACCACCACCGCCAATAACACCTACCACCAAGGAAGAATAGAAATCGAGCAATTTTTCTTTTTCTTGCAAAAAAAAAAAAAAAATTGGAAAAGTAGAGAGGATGTAAATTTTGCTAGATAAGATGAGAAGGATAGATATTTGGATGAAGATAGATTTTTATTTTTATTTTTTTTTAAATTTCTTTTAGTTAGTATTGTTCAATTTCTTGGCTCTCATTTCAAATTTTGGAGGAATGGTTGAAGAGGGAGGAAAAAGAGAAATTAGGTTAGTTTAGGTGGTTTCCCGCCCCATATGGGCGTTCTCTCTTCTGTGGTCTATATATAGTCCGTTTGGTGAACTGGGTGACAAAAGAAATGGTATGAATATAAATTCTTAGCTAGGTAAGAAAAGAAAATTGTAATATAATTGTCATTTCTTATCATTTTATTTGAATGAACAGTCAGTTGAAAAAAAGAACATGCGTTATTTTATTTTTAATGTTTCGTAGTTAGACAGGCAATTTAAGTATTTTTATTTTTATGAAATAGTGGTTGTCTCTCAGCAATTCTCAACAATTTGTCACATTCTCAATCATCCAAATAAGTAATGAAAGTTCTTTTTCTCTCGAATTTGTTTTCTTTTTTCACCAATCTCAAAAAAAGAAAATGCTAGACATATAATTTTTATACTAAAAAATTTTTAAATAGCCAGTGTATAAGAAGTTTTTGTTATTTTAGAGGGACATAGAAATGTCTAGAGAGATTATTGCCCTGGGCCCTCGCGTGTCGCCGGAAATTCCGCCTACTCTACCCCCAATGATATCTACAGATTACTTTCCTCCACCTTCTCCTTCTCGGGTCATCTGGGCATATCTTGCAGGTAAGTTCGTTCATGAAGTAGAAACTGTAAAAAAATAAACTATGGTAATATAGAAAAACATATATATAATTTTTATTTTATTTTATTTTATTTTATTTTCAATTTATAGGCGCAATAGTGCTTGTGGTAGTATTTCTAGTCATTGTGGTTTGCGCCAGAATAGCGAGAAAAACAATATGATTTACTTCACTACTCATTTCCATTTATTTTATTTTTTTTTCTTTTACAGGCATAGCAGTCGGTTTGGTAGTACTTGTAATCATCGTTAAGATCTTTGTGACTTGTGTAAAGATGACAACAAGAGCAATTGTTTCATATCTACTACAAGCAAGTGTTGCTATCTCTTCGACTTGTGCAAAGATGATAACAAGAGCAATTGTTTCATATCTACCAGCAAGTGTTGCTCTCTCTTTGACTTGTGCAAAGATGATAACAAGAGCAATTGTTTCATATCTACCAGCAAGTGTTGCTCTCTCTTTGACTTGTGCAAAGATGATAACAAGAGCAATTGTTTCATATCTACCAGCAAGTGTTGCTCTCTCTTTGACTTGTGCAAAGATGATAACAAGAGCAATTGTTTCATATCTACCAGCAAGTGTTGCTCTCTCTTTGACTTGTGCAAAGATGATAACAAGAGCAATTGTTTCATATCTACCAGCAAGTGTTGCTCTCTCTTTGACTTGTGCAAAGATGATAACAAGAGCAATTGTTTCATATCTACCAGCAAGTGTTGCTCTCTCTTTGACTTGTGCAAAGATGATAACAAGAGCAATTGTTTCATATCTACCAGCAAGTGTTGCTCTCTCTTTGACTTGTGCAAAGATGATAACAAGAGCAATTGTTTCATATCTACCAGCAAGTGTTGCTCTCTCTTTGACTTGTGCAAAGATGATAACAAGAGCAATTGTTTCATATCTACCAGCAAGTGTTGCTCTCTCTTTGACTTGTGCAAAGATGATAACAAGAGCAATTGTTTCATATCTACCAGCAAGTGTTGCTCTCTCTTTGACTTGTGCAAAGATGATAACAAGAGCAATTGTTTCATATCTACCAGCAAGTGTTGCTCTCTCTTTGACTTGTGCAAAGATGATAACAAGAGCAATTGTTTCATATCTACCAGCAAGTGTTGCTCTCTCTTTGACTTGTGCAAAGATGATAACAAGAGCAATTGTTTCATATCTACCAGCAAGTGTTGCTCTCTCTTTGACTTGTGCAAAGATGATAACAAGAGCAATTGTTTCATATCTACCAGCAAGTGTTGCTCTCTCTTTGACTTGTGCAAAGATGATAACAAGAACAATTGTTTCATATCTACAAGCAAGTGTTGCTATCTCTTCGACTTGTGCAAAGATGATAACAAGAGCAATTGTTTCATATCTACAAGCAAGAGTTGCCCCTCCACCACCACCGACGTTGAATGAGGTTCGAGTTTGGGACATCGATGTGCCAACAATGGAGAGGTTCCTCGAAGAATTGGCGAAGGAGAAACCAGTTAGATATACAGCCGAACAGCTATGTAGTTTCACAAGTAATTACGCTACAAAGTTGGGTTCTGGAGGTTTTGGGACAGTTTACAAGGGTCAATTTCCAAATGGAGTTAAGATCGCGGTCAAGGTCATCAATAGGAGCTCGGATAGAGCAGCTGAGCAACAGTTCATGGCAGAGGTGAGTACTATTGGAAGAACATATCATATAAATCTAGTCCGACTATACGGTTTTTGCTACGATCACATAATGAGCGCATTAGTGTACGAGTACATGGAAAATGGATCACTAGATAAATACCTTTTCAGCGATACACAAGTGATTGAATGGGAGAAGTTGCATGAAATCGCAATTGGGACAGCAAAAGGTATCGCTTACTTGCACGAAGAGTGTCAACAGAGGATCATTCACTACGACATAAAGCCCGGTAATGTTCTATTAGATGCCAATTTTTCCCCCAAAGTTGCTGATTTCGGGCTGGCAAAGCTTTGCAGTAGAGACAACACAAATGTGTCTTCCGCAGGATATAGAGGGACTCCTGGTTACTTAGCCCCAGAGTTATTTCTTCTCAAGAACTATCCCAGTACACACAAATGTGATGTTTACAGTTTTGGTATGCTTTTGTTTGAGATAGTAGGGAGGAAGAGGAATACCATCATAGCTGGGACTGATAGCATTGATTTTTTTCCAGAACATGTATGGGATGAGTTTGAGAAAGGCGAGTTGGGAGCAATGACATTGTCATGTGGAATCGAAGAGAATAACAGAGAAAAAGCAGAGAAAATGGCAATGGTGGCTTTGTGGTGTGTTCAAGACTCTCCCAAAGAAAGGCCGCTGATGAGTGTTGTAGTGAAAATGTTGGAGGGAGAAGTGGAGGTGAAGGCACCTCCTAAACCATTCCGTTATATGTATGCAAGCAGTGAAGGAAGTAATACACATTGGTACGAGGACACCACTCCCATCATGGCTAGGTACGAGGTACAAATGTCCAGTTCAAGCTAAAGAATGAGAATCCTTTGTAAGTCTTTAATAATGATTTATAAGACGCAATATTAATGTATCTAATTTGTGGGAAAGTCTATAGTATATTTTGTTAAAAAATGTATGGTACATAAAAAATCAATGGCTAAAATTGAGCCACATCATTAAAAGTGACCTGTTAAACAGGTCACTTTTATAGTTATGAACCAAAATCATATTTCTTCATAACTATAATTAAATTGATCATAACTTAGTCATAACCACATCTCATAACCAACACCGTTTTGTTCATAACTAATATCACATATTCCATAATCACATCTCATAACCAACACTATTTTGTTCATAACTAATATCACATATTTCATAACCATAATCACATATCTCATAACCACATCTCATAACCAACCCCTTTGAGTCATAACCAACATCACATATCTCAAAACCAACACATTTTTTTTCATAACCAACATCACATATCTCATAACTACTAGTCACATATCTCATAACTAACACCATTTTGCTCATAACCACATCACTTTAATCATAACCAATATCACATATTTCATAACTATTAATCACATATCTCATAACTATTACCCACATGAATCATAACCACATCTCATAACCAATCCCTTTGAGTCATAGCCAATATCATATATCTCATAATCACTAGTCACATATCTCATAACTAACAACCATATTGCTCATAATCACACCACTTTAATCATAACCAATATCTCATATCTTATAACCACTAACACATATAGCATAACCAAACACACTTTGACACCACTTTACTCATAACCAAAATCACATATTTTATAATCACTAATCAAATATCTCATAAACATTACCCACATATCTCATAACTAACATCACATATCTCATAACTACTAATTACATATCTCATAATCACACCACTTTGATCATAACTAACATTACATATCTCATAACCACTAATCGCATATCTCATAACTAAACACCCTTTGACTTATAACTACACCACTCTGCTCATAACCAAAATCACATATCTAATAATCGCTAATCATATATCTCATAACATTTACCTACTTATGTCATAACCACATCTCATAACCAACACCATTTGCCTCATAACCAATATCCACATATATCATAACCATTAATCACATATCTCATAACCACTACCAACATATAGGGGTGTAAATTTGGTCCATGAGCTCGTGGCACACCCCATGTCCAGTCGCACCCTGGGTGGGCCCAACCAGGCCTGAGCTTGAGTCTGAGCCTAAGCCCAACCTAAGACCCTGGGCTATGTGTTCTAAAGCCTAGCCTAACTCTGGTGTGTTATGGAGTGTGACCCATCTCGTGAGCTCGACCCGAATTTTTTTCCCCATCTGGCCCGACCCAACCCTAACATCTCCCTGCCCCTTGTTAGTGCAACGGTCAAAAATTTAAAAATAAAATAAATTTTGAAACAGTCATATGATCGTTTATAATAAAACAAAATTTGAAACAGTCATATGATCGTTCATCCCAAGTCCTATAAATACCACCCCCCTCTCATTTTATTTCTGACAAACAAATTTGTCTCTCAAACTCTCATCATCTCTAAACTCTCAACTCTCTCAATTAATTTTGAAGTGTCATCCCTAAGTGACAATTACAATTGATCACCTTTCTCTATTTTATATTTATTTTTAGTCATTAAATATAATAGAAATAGTAATATACAAACGACATACTTTTTAAAATATCTATATACACTTATAGACATATATATATATATATATATATATAATTTAACTAAATTTAATAAAAAATACGTTGAAAAAAATTATCTATGATGTGATTTTATTTTATTCTACTAAATAAATTTTCTCCTAAATTTTTTTCCCAACTTTTCTTCATTTTTTTTTCTTGATTTGTCCTAGTTGTTCCTGAGCTCTCTCTATTTCTTATTTAGACTTCTCTATTTCGCTCAAATTATCGAACGACCATTGTTGATAATTCTTCCTCACTGGATTCTTCCTCTCTCTACTCCTGTGTCTCTGCAATAGATCATTGAACTCATCGCTACTCTCTTTGTCTATTTCAACACTATTCACTCTGATGATATTTCTCTATCTAGTAAATGCATCTATCTCGAAACTCTAGCTCTTTCACATTAATATGTCATACATGCAGAAACCTTGGCTGTAGTTATGATTTAAAGGTTTTGTTATCATCAATATGTACATGTGTTATAGAACTGTTGAAAAATGAATATTACGCATTTTGTTGTTCTGTTCTGCTATCTCAGTCCTCTTCGTCCCTCAAGCATCTGTCTCATTCTTTACTGTCATTGCAGATATCTCCGATGTTCTTTATCAGAAACGAAAGCACCTTTGACGTCATTTTCACAGGTGATAAGCCCGTTCAGTCTCTCTTTCTCATATTCCCTTTCCTCTCGCTCTACAGCTAATCTTCTCTAACTCTCATTTTCTGTTCCATGGCTTTAAGTCGTTGATTAAATTATTTAATGATTTTCATCACATTTTGTTTTTTTTTTTTTTGTATTATGAGAGATCTCGATTGGTGATTCTAAGATTTTTAGTGATTTGCTTAGTCATTTTGTGATAATTGTTATGAAACCTTGTTACTTGATTACAATATTTGTGGTTTATAAAAAATTTGTATATTTTTGCTACATCAATTAGTTGTGTTGTTGCGTATTATGTAATTGATGTTATAAATTTTTTTGGGTTGGTTATGATATTTGTGATTTGTAAAAATTTTGATTATTTTTATTATGACAATTAGTAGTGCAGTTACGCATTTTGTAGTTGATGCTATTAAATTTTGTAAGTTGGTTATGACATTTGTGGTTTTTAAAATTTTTAGATGTTTTTGTTACACCAATTAGTGGATAGTTACATGATTTTTGGTTAATGTTACAAAATTTTGGGAATTAGTTATGACATTTGTGATTTTCTATAATTTTAAACAATTTTGTTACGCCAATTAGTGATGGAATTATGTATTTTGTGTTTTATATTACAAAACTTTGTAACTTCATTATGATATTTGTGGTTTCTAAAATTTTAAATATTTTTTTTACGCCAATTAATGGTATGATTATACATTTTGTAGTTGATGAGTAAAATAGTGTTTTTTTATTAATTTTACTTAATAAAAATAGATAAAGGATTTATATTAAAAATTAAAAAAAATTAAGTATAAATTGTTTTAATTTTGTTTTTTATAATGATCATTACATAATTTTAGCCCTATGTTCTCCAAAAATTTGGAACAAACATCCAAATTTTGTCAAAATCAAAATTCCCTCATTAATTGTTTTTGACAAATCCCTAGACCCTTTCTTTAGCCCAAACACGAGAGAGAGAGAGAGAGAGAGAGAGAGAGAGAGAGAGAGGGGGGAGAGAGAGAGAGAGAGAGGGTAATTTCTGGACTTGGGATGTAATGCGAGCCCGTAGGCCAAATTTGCACCCCTATATGTGAGTAATGATTATGAGATATGTGATTAGTGATTATGATATAGGTGATGTTGGTTATGAGGCAAATGGTGTTGGTTATGAGATGTGGTTATGACATAAGTGGGTAAAGGTTATGAGATATATGATTAGTGACTATTAGATATGTGATTTTGGTTATGAGCAGAGTGATGTAGTTATAAGTCAAAGGGTGTTTGGTTATGAGATATGTGATTAGTGGTTATGAAATATGTAATTTTGTTTATGATCAAAGTGGTATGGTTATGAGATATGTGATTAGTAATTATGATATATGTGATGTTGGTTATGAGATATGTGGGTAATAGTTATGAGATATTTGATTAGTGATTATAAAATATGTGATTTTGGTCATGAGCAAAGTTGTGTCAAAGGGTGTTTGGTTATATTATATGTGTTACTGGTTATGAGATATAAGATATTGGTTATGATCAAAGTGGTGTAGTTATGAGCAAAAGAGTTGTTAGTTATGAGATATATGGCTAGTGATTATGAGATATGTGATATTGGTTATGACTCAAAAGGATTGGCTATGAGATGTGGTTATGATTCATGTGGGTAATAGTTATGAGATATGTGATAAATAATTATGAGATATGTGATATTGGCTATGAACAAAGTGGTGTGGTTATGAGCAAAATGGTGTTAGTTATGAGATATGTGACTGATGGTTATAAGATATGCCATGTTGGTTATGAAAAAAATGTGTTGGTTATGAGATATGTGACTAGTGGTTATGAGATATGTGATGTTAGGACCCTGGACTCTAATTTCCTTTGCCCTCTTTTTGGTAACCGGTTATACAGGCTACCAGTTCAAAATTAAATTATTAAAATAATTTAGTTATGTGATAGTTATGAAATAATATGGTATGTATAAATAACTAAATTATGAGTTAATATGATAATGATTATAATCTATATGATATTAGTTATAATATAAAATCACATATCCTCATAACTGATGTACGGTACATCCAAATGTACCATAAAATGCTGGACTTTTTTTATTTTTTATTTTTAATTTATGTATTTTATAGATTATTTATGGAAGGAGATTAGTGTAATTTATCCTTAATCGTTTTTATTTACCGCTTGAGTTGCACAAAAATATTAGGTAAAATAAGGTCCTTTCTGTCACGGCCCGTATTTTATTACTCGAATAACATTATCAATATTCATTAATCAAGTCCGTTTACAAATGTCAATTCATCTTTTGATAAAATGATGAATAATTAAATATACATATTCCTTCTCGTGATACAACAATGACATTTTCATACAAATAAAAGAAATGCCCTAAGGCTTACAATAAACGAGAGGACACTACTTTTTACAAAAAAAAATAGCACTCAGCCAAACAAACAAATAAAGTAGTACAATCTATCACTACATTACGCTCATGAAATGGTAAAATCCATTGTTCAATCTTCAAATTCGAAAAGCATTCCCTATACACATGTACAGGCAGGGGGTGAGCAACCACTAGCTCACCAAACAATCTCATATTAAAATATTAGAAGATATCCAGGTGCAAAGGTACTCATACATATACGTGAAATCATATCATGTCAAACCATATGATTGTATTATATAATCTTTTAAATTCAATTTATTTAATTAACCACAACTAGTTAATTTAAATAAATAAGCATGCCCCAAATGCAACATGACATCCTTTTTCAATTCATTCAATTACCAATTTGTCAATTGAATCAAATAATTAAACAATTCATAATGACATTTAACAAAGCATCAAGTACATTTTATACAGTCCTATGAGATTAATGCATATGCCATGTCATGCTCAAAATATTTTTTTCATCTTTTGAAAATCTTGTGCACAATGCCAATTTGAAAACACATAAATCCAACGATTTCAATAAAATTTCAAGGTGGTAAACACGACTCAGATAATTCCTAGGCTGGTGTCTGCAAGTGGGCATATTGAGCACTACCAAATCCTCACTTTACCGGTCTCTCACCGAAAGGGCGGTGGTACCTCCTCCGCTCGTATTTTCGGTCTTTCATCCCGGACACTCCGGCCAAATTAACCAACATCAAACTACACCCCCTATCCGGACTTACCAACATATTTACACAAAACAAATCAAAATGATTTTTGTTTCACTAAACACAATTCATTTCTCAAAATAATAGTTTTCAAGTGCAATACGAAACCCATAATAACAATGAAATGACATGAAAATGCAATATGTAGCAATACATTAGAATAGTTCCAATTTCAATTCCACTACACAATGCTCCATTGTGATCAAATTCCATATCTCTATCAATGTAATATCATAATACAATTTCAAGAGGTAATCCAACAATATCCACATTCATATAGTCCCCACAAGTTAATCAACATTCCTAATTTAGTCCTTTCAAGACAATTCTATAACATACTATATATCAAACTTTCAAAGTTCCAACATTTCTCATCCTTCCAAGAAATCCCTCATTAAATGCAACATGATAAATTTCCACCGATAGCCAAAATAGTTACCTCTAATGTATTAATTAAAAGATAACAATATGGATGTACAATCCAACATATAACCATAACTTGGAATCTCCCATGATTCCCAACATTTAGAAACAATCCATATTTCAACATAACCATTTTTCATGTCAAGCTACTCAAAGAGGTAATATTCTTCCCAAATTCTCTACCAATAACAATTTCACCACTTTTTTTTTTTTTCTAAAATTAGCCAACCAACATGATATTTACATCAAATGTTATGAAATATGTCCAAGAGTAACATTTTCAAAGTTATGAGTTCAAAAGCCCACATTTCATATTTTTATTTTCACAAAAATGAACACAACTAAATCATCAACATATCATGTTTCATAAAATATCATGAATGTCACACTTTTAAAGTTTTTAATCCCAAAACAACTCAATAATCCCAACTTAACAATTTACACAATATTCCTCAATATCAATTTATTTTTCTCAAAAATAAATTCCAAAATCAAAGATAAAAAAATATTTCAACTTTATATTTCTCAAAATAATTCATCTAATCATAATATGATGTAAATACAATCATACAACCTTTAAATTTTATTTTCGGATTTTTTTTTTTACAAAATTAACAACACAAAATGATTTTCCCAAAACCAATCTCAAAATGCCAACATTCTTAACATTTCAACATAATTTTTCTTCCAAAAATTATCAAACAAAAATCTGAATATTATATATATATATATATAATACCTCTTAAAATGACATATTTTCTCAAAATAACCCTAACATACAAAATTAACAACACAAAATGATTTTTCCAAAATCAATCTCAAAATGCCAGCATTCTTAACATTTCAACATAATTTTTCTTCCAAAAATTATCAAACAAAAATCTGAATATTATATATATATGTATATATATAATACCTCTTAAAATGACATATTTTCTCAAAATAATCCTAACATAGCTTTAATGTAAAAATATGAAGAAAGTTCCTACCTCAAATATGAAGAAAAGTAAATTTGAAAAAGCAAACTTTGCCTGATCATAAATCCGAGACCACCATTGCGAAAATCATAACAAGTTCTCTGACTTTCATTTACAATACTTTTGCAAAATCTCACTCTAAAGACTCTTATTTCAAGCTCAAAGGTTGAGCCAACAATGGAGGAATAAGGAAAGAGAGAGACGGACAGAGAAGAAAAAACAAAAGCAAAATGAAGTAGAAGGAAAGAAGAGATAGGGAGAAAAGAAATGGGGAACAACCCCCACGTGGGTTAGCTTCCCTAGATAATCATCAAATCTAACATCACCTAATCTAATACAAAATATATGACAATAATATCTTTAAAATTTTGTACATAAATTATATAATGATATAATTTTATTTCACCACAAAATATAACATTCTGTACATCATAAAATATAATCTTTTACTCACTATAAAATATACACTAATTTTTCACCGTATGGTACACACCATAAATTTAACTTTCAAATATATATTATAATCTTATATAATAAATAATATCAACTCTCAATGTGATCACTACCAATCACATAATTAAAATAGACTAAACAGTTAAACATAAGTCATTAAACAAACTCAAATAAAATTGAATTTAAGTCATGGGTCTTAAATTAAATTCTCACCCATAAGCCAAATATAGCCCAATTACATACCAAAATAAACCTAAC